TGGAGTCTTTCCTGTTCATTCCAGTCCTGGGAGCTGTCATCTCCTTTAGCAGGCTGCTTCATTCTGTGACCAGCAATTCTGGTGTCTGTCTCCTGAGCCCCAGGGGCATTGCCTCTCATGCCTAGGCCTCTGCGCTTGGCTTTCCCCAGCTTGCCTGGGGGTGGCCTCCTGAGCTTTGGACCTATTTCCATTCTGACCTGTCACTCTGTGTTGCACTTATTTGATGGCCCTTACTAGGCTGGAAGCAGTGTTATTATTCATTTTGTTATTTAGCTATTTTTATTTGAAAGGCAGAGTCACACAGAGAGAAGAAAGAGAGAAAGAGATCTTCTATCCATTGGTTCACTCCCCAAATGGCTGTAATGGTGGGGGCTGGGCGGACAAAAGCCAGGAGCTTCTTTTGTTTCTTCCACATTGAAGCAGGGTCCCAAGGACTTGATCCTCTGCTGCTTTCTCAGGTTATAAGCAGGTGGCTGGACCAGAAATGGAATAGCTGGGACATGAACCAGTGCCCATGTGGGATGCTGGTGCTTCAGGAGGGGACAAATGGCCTGATACGCCACCATGCCAGTCCTGAAAATTTTTTTAGAAAAGATTATTTATTTTATTGGAAAGTCAGACTTACAGAGAGGAGGAAAGGCAGAGGAAGATCTTCTGTCCGCTGATTTACTCCCCAAGCAGCTACAATGGCCAGAGCTGAGTCGATCCGAAGCTAGGAGCCAGGAGCTTCTTCCAGGTCTCCCACATGGGTGCAGGGTCCCAAAGCTTTGGGCCATCCTGATTGCCTTCCCAGGCCACAAGCAAGGGGCTGGATGGGACATGAACTAGTGTCCATTTGGGATCCCAGTGTGTGCAAGGCAAGGACTTTAGCTGCTGGGTTATTGCGCTGGGTCTGAAAGCATTTTTAAAATGTATTTTTATATGGCTTCTGCGTTCCTTACTTTGGCGTTGGTTGTTCTTGATTTGGCGTCTAGCATGAAGCAGGTGCTCCTGAAACACCTGGGCTTGGTGGGAGCCTGGCAGATACACAGACACCTCAGTATTCCAGTTATTAGTCCTGGAGGGTGCAAGCAGCCTGACCTAGGCAGGTGGTCTCTTTTGGGTGAGGGGTGAAGAGCAACGTCCTTGTGGTCTCATGTCTGGCTCTGTCATCTCCCCTGCCCCCTGTTCCCCGTCCCCCAGCTGGCTGAGCCTGAAGCTGCCTGTCCTCCCCAAGGCTCGTGGAGGATCTGTCTGCTGCTCTGAGTGACAGCATCTTTGGGGACCAGGGTCCTTGAGGAGGGGTGCCTACAGCCTCTGCAAGCGTATGATTCACACCCAAGTCCTGGACCTTCTCCCTCTCTGTACTTCTTCCCCAGCTGCGGATGAGAGCTTGTCTCACTCCCTCCCTGTCTCCTCCCCTCAAGCCCTTCCCCACCTGTCTCAGCTCTGTGGCTTCTGAGAATTTCGAATTTTCCAGATAGCATCAGCAGGTGCCCTGCACGAGGCCTGCAGCCTCCTCCCTACCTGCACTCTTCTGCAGACTCCCACAGAGGAAGCAGTGCTGACCTGCAGCCAGGTAAGTGGGCACCTGCTGGATCCCCTGGGATCTCATGGCAAGGGTATGGTGGCCCAAGCCCAGGCTGCCACCCTGCCCCCTACTCCTACCCCTCCTTTTCATCCCTTTCTGGACTGACATTTCTTTTCTCCTGCTTCATGTCTGCTCTGATTCTTCCATCAGAGTCCCTGGAGAGCTCTGAGCCCTTAGGACCACACAGCAGGCTGCCAGTGATCCCAGGGCAGCTGGCACATCTCCGTGGTCTCTCTGTTTCCCCTTCTCTATCACCTCCTACTCTTTCATCTTTGTTTATTTTCTTTTTTTTTTACTCCTTGACCGTTCCATTCTGTCTTTGTACCCAGTGCTGAGCCCTTCCACCTCCAAGAAGGGTGGCTGGGTGTGTGAGTGTGTATGTGTGTCTGGGTGTGTGTGTGTCATGGTTAGGGGTCTGCATTGACCAGCATGGGAACCATATCAGATTGGGGAGTACCAGACCCAGGGGCCACGCTTGAACTAGGCACCTGGTGGTCCTCCCCGCTCATCCATGCTGGCCGCTGGGCGGTTGATCGCCCCAGAGGAAGTGCAAGTGAGTGATGGGAGAATGAATGACCTTGAACCCTAGTGGTTGTTCGCTTTCTCAGGAGACAAGAGGGGCTTTGCATGGAGAGAGGGGGAAGCAAAGGGGGGCAGATGAGGTCTGACCTGCCACACACTTCCCGCGGCTGCTTTTCCTTATAAAAGGGCACGCTTTCATGAAGGCCACCCAGGCAGGGTTAGGCAGTGGGCAGCCCAGCGCCGGCCTTTGATGCGCGGAAACCGCAAGCTTCTCAGAGAGGCGCTGTTGCTCCGGCCTTCCAGCAGGGGGCGTTCTGCCCCGACAAAAAGAGAGTCCTCTCTCACCTGCTGCCCTGGCCGCCAACGAGACCCGAGGCTCCTCACCCTCCTCAGAGGGTTACTGTGCGCTCGGCCTGGCGGAAGAGGAGTTCGTCCCCACCCCGGGGCTGGTGGTGGCAGGGGGCGTAACGCTGGTTAGAGTCTGGTGTCCTGTTTGAGAAAGTGGACCAATCAGGAGCCAGAGACCCCAAGCCCCTCACACCTTGGAAACAGGAGACTGTGGATTTGACCTTGGAGATAGATAGAGAGAGAGAAGCTGGAAGGGTGGGAGGATGGGAGGAGGCCCAGCACCTGTAAAGGTTGCTGTGGAAACAATATCAGCGAAGACCCACATTGGAAGTGAAGGCTGCCGCGCCCCAGGCGGAAAGCGTTCGGCAGCCTCCACGGTGACCCCAAAGGCGGGCGCTGTCTCATCGCAGTTCTTGAGCGCCATCCATTCGCTTGTCGTTTCTGGATGCGCGACCCCTCCTCATTCGAGGGACCTGGGTTATGTAAGGGTTGTTGCTAAGGAACCAGGGGAGATGCAGGAAGGGAGGCAGGGTTGCCTAGTAACCGGCAATTCTGGGTGATGGCGTGGCCAGAGGGAGCAAGTCTGGAATTGGTGCGAGTCTGCCGACGCGGTAACGCGCCCCAGTCTCCCCAATGTGGCTTCTCGCCCCAAGCTGCCGAGCCTGCCTCTCTACCTCACTCCCACGTTGTCCCTCGTGGAAAGCACAGCTCAGCTCCCCTAGTGTCCTCGCTGACCCCTTGCTCCTGCCACTCCCTCCTCACCTTGCCCCGCAGCTCCGTGGAGCCCAGCAGCGGGGAGCTGGCCAATGACCTGACAGCCCCAGGGGGGACATTGATGGGGAGCAGGAAAATCAGGGTTGGGGCCAAAGAGCGCCCCCCAGGAGAGCATCACTGGCATTTTTTCAGTTTGCAGTGGAGTCATCTCGTGCCTCGGAGTCCCATGCCTGGTAGTCACCATGCCTTCCCACCTGTAGGTTCGCCCACAGGGACCTGCACCTTCCCTTCCCTTCCCAGGGTGTTGTAAGAGTGGGGTCCATACTCTGCCCGTGTGGTCCCACAGAATACAGCATCTGTCTGGATGCGTGCTGGCCCACCTTCACGTCACGTTTGGCACCTGACAGATGGCGCCTTTGCCCACCAGCCTGGGCTTATATCCAGGCCTTCCTGGGCTTCCTGAGAGCTCTGGGTAGGTGTTGGGGGCAGAGATAGGGAGTGGAGCCTGTTTCAACAAACTCTCACTACCCTGCCCCAGTCTTACGTTAAAGGAAGAGAGAGAGAGAGAATCTTCCATCTACTGGTTCACCCCCCAGTTGATTGCAATAAGCCTAGGCCAGGAGCCAGGAATTCCATGTGGGTCTCCCAGGTGAAGGACAGCGACCCAAGCACCTATGCATCTTCCACTGCCTCGCCAGGCTCATTAGCAGAAGGCTGAATGAGAAGCGGACTTGGACCGGCAGTCAGGTGGGGATTGTTGGGGGGCACAAATGGCAGCTTAACCCTCCACACTATAATGCTGACCCAAGGAACTCATGTTAATGTCAGAGCCTCCTCATTCCTGCTTCTCTGTTTCCTGGTTTGAAAATTCCCAGGGAGACTTTTGTGAACTGAAGATTTATGATAGGAAAACCTACTGTTTAAAACTAAGCCCTTTGCATAGAACTTCTCCGAGAAAGTATTTGAGACATTGGCAGCTTCGCTTCTGAGAAGGAACTGGGAAAATGAATTTTTGAACTAACTTTGACCTGCTTGAACTTTATGCTTTTTATTTAAGCTTTTTTTTTTTTTTTAAATTGTGGAATACTGGGCCCGGTGTGATGGCGCAGTGGTTAAGGTCCTCACCTTGCATGCGCCAGGATCCCATATGGGCACTGGTTCTAATCCTGGCAGCCCCACTTCCCATCCAGCTCCCTGCTTGTGGCCCAGGAAAACAGTCGAGGACGGCCCAGGGCTTTGGGACCCTGCACCCGTGCAGGAGACCCGGAAGAAGCTCCTGGCTTTGGATCGACACAGCATCGGCCGTTGCGGTCATGTGGGGAGTTAATCATCGGATGGAAGATCTTCCTCTCTGTCTCTCCTCTCTGTATATCTGCCTTTCCAATAATAAATAAATAAATAAATAGTGGAATACAGGGGAAAGTATGCATAAGCTCACACACAGAGCCACCATGTAATGTTTCTTGCTAATCAAACACAACATTTGAGGCCATTGTGGTTAATGCAGCTGGTAAAGCCACTGCCTGCTGTGCTGGCATCCCATATGGCAGCTGCACCATTTCCTAACTTGTTCCCTGCTATTGCATCTAGGAAAGCATCAGAGGATGGTCAGGTGTTTGGGTGGCCCCTGTACCCATGTGGGAGAATTGGAGAAAGCTCCCAGTTCCCGGATTTGGTGTGGCCCAGCTCCAGCCATTGTTTCCATTTGGAGAGTGAATCAGTGGATGGAACAATCTCTTTGCCTATGTTTCTCTCTCTTTCTCTGTTACTCTGCTTGTCAAATAAACAAAAGTAAGTTTCTTTCCCCAGGGCTGACTCAGAAGGAAGCATCTGAGGCCCAGCCATCATGCTGCGGGCAGTGACCCGGGTCACCTGCAGTCTGTGTCCTCCCTGGGCTGGGCCCTCTGTGAGGATGCACAGCAGTGAGAGAGCCCCCAAGCGCAGCCTGGCCAACCGTGTGGCTGTGGTCACGGGGTCCACCGCTGGGTAAGTGTCCTGCTGGTCCCCAGGGTCATGATCCCTCACAGGGACATTGGCTTCTCAGGAAGCCCTTTAGGGTTGCTTGTTGGGCAGGACACAGCCTGCTTTGTGGACCTGCAACTGCGAGGGACTGAGGCTGACCTGATCCCTCCCATCTCTGCCCACAGAATTGGCTTGGCCATTGCCCGGCGTCTGGCCCAGGATGGGGCCCATGTGGTCATCAGCAGCCGGAAGCAGCAGAACGTGGACCGGGCGGTGACTGCACTGCGCGAGGAGGGGCTCAGCGTGATGGGCACCGTGTGCCACGTGGGGAAGGCGGAGGACCGGGAGCACCTGGTGGCCACAGTGAGGGGCCGGTGATGGGACGGATGGGGGCTATACAGCACTTCCTGAGACTTGGATTCCCTACCCCCAATCTGTGAAAGCTATAGTTGAGGAGGGATGGGGGACGTCTTCCCCTCTCCCCATCACCAAGGATATCTTGATTCCTGGAGAAATCCTTCCTTACTGGGGGGGCTCAGTCTGCCCCGGCCCATCTAGGACCCTGTGAACCCTCCTGGTTGGCAGAGGCAGGCGTGGTGGCCGTGTCTGATCAGCGTGCTCTGGCTCTGTGCCCCGCAGCCCTGGGCTGCCCTGAGAGGCCAGGGCCTCCTCACTCCATCTCCATGCTCATCCAAGCCCCTCTCACTCAGGCCCTGGAGCACTGTGGGAGCGTCGACTTTCTGGTGTGCAATGCTGCTGTCAACCCTCTGGTGGGGAGCACCCTGGGGGCCAGCGAGCAGGTGTGGGACAAGGTGAGAAGTCCCTGGGCATTGGTGGGACTCTGTGGTCAGCTTGGTGCTCTGGCCCCTCCCTTTCCTTCTCTCTCCTTCCCTCCCCTTCCCTTCCTTCTCTTTTCCTTACCTTATTTCTCCTTTTCTGCCATTCCCACCCTCCCTTGCTCTCCCCAGATTACTGTTAAAGCAGGCCCCAGATGTGTCCCCCTGACCATGCTCTGAAACTGCTTTCTGGTTGGTTGGCTTGTAGATCTGGCTCCCATATGCCATCTGCTTTCTTTTTCCTCTTCGCTCTTCATTTGCATCTGTCCACTCAGTGGATAGTCACTAGGGTTGTGGTGTGTGCCAGGCACTGTATCAAGCACTGTGCAGGCCCTGGGAATGACCCCTGAGTGTGCCCAAGGGACCTCTCTGTAAGGGCCAGGGTGAGCACTCCTCCCAGCCTCTTGTGGGGTCATTTACTGACCATCTTTACTAGTTTCTATGGTGACTGTCACCTGTTGCAGGGAATCTGAGGCTTGCCTTGATTAGGCTCTCCACTGTCCCTCGGATGGACCTGCTGCTGGTAGGACTCAGTCCATCTCTTGGCCAACCTTGGGCTCAGACATCACAGCCCACTATGACTCCTGTTCCTATTCTGCCACCTCGTCCTCAGGGTCTAACGGTGACCTTGTACAATGCTCTGAAGTAATGTCCCCCAGCCTTTGTACATTCTCTCCAGTGTCCCTAGGACAGCTAAGAGGATGGAGATTGATTTTCCTGCCTTTTTGTCCTTTGAAGACTCTCTTTCCCACTCCCCAGAGCAACTGTTTGCCAGCCTTGGCCTATGTCCTCTTTACCATAGCCACTGCTACCGTCCTCCAGCTGGCCCCGCCTTTCTCTCTGTTCTTTGTTCCATCTCCACTGACCTGAAATCTGAGCTCCTGCAGCTGCTGTGGGGCAGCCTCCCAGGCTCCTCAGCTGATACCTCTGGAGGATCATCTGTGAGGAGGGGGCTAGGAGTTGACCCCTACCCATCCTTGCTTTGGTAGAGTCTCGCTCATGGCACTGCGACTCTTGCACCACAAGGAGAGAAATCTTCCTCTTGAAGCCAGAGGTATCTTCTGTTCTCCAAGGGCAACGAGCAACTCCAAGCTGAGGGACAGGAGTCTCGGATGGAGCCAGGGCCCCTGACTGGGAAGTCTCTAGGACCTGCCCATATCTCCTTTGCCCCAGAGACCTGCTGTGTGCACCCTCCTTCAGCCCCTGGAGCTCTGCTCTGGACTTCATGCCTCCCACCCTTTCTTCTGCAAGAGAGAGAATCCTTCTTTGATTCACATTTGGCTCCTGAGCCCAGGGAGGCCTTGCCTCTGCCTAATACAGTTGGAGCTGCAGGTGGATAGCCCGTGGGATACTGGGGTTCTGTTTTGACAGGAAGCCCTTAGTCTAGCCCTCGTTTCCTCCTTGTTGGGGTTCTCATAGTGACACCCCCTCCCACATATTCAAACTGTTTCTTGCAGTTGCAGGGGCCCCCAGTACTGATAACCTGTTACTGAGTGGGCCAACGTAACCATCTGTCAAAGCATTTCCAATGCCCACATCCAAGGGAGGGAGTGGGAGTGGGATGAAGCAGTGGGAAAAACAGCAACAGGTGGGCAGGGATGTGCAGCTTTTTTTCCCAAGAGAGAGGTGAGATACAGCTGATCCCGTTCACATCAGCACCCAACAAGAGGGTTTCTTGGTACCATCTTGTCCCAGCTGGCACCTGTCCTGGTGCTCAGGCTCACAGTCTGCACCTTCCTTTGATCTTCCTCACTTGCTTCTCTCTTGCCCCCTGCCTGACTGGGCAGAACTTGCAGACAGGGTCCAGATCTGTGTGGCTGAGCCCAGATGCAGGCCTTATCCTGGGTGTGACCAGTACAGCCCGAAGTCCCCAGGGCACCCTCTGCTGTGTCTCTGGCTTAGCGCTGGCTGCAGGAGGGACAGCTCAGAGCCAAGTCAGTCAATAATACAATAATGTCCCGTCCTGACCTTGTGCTGGGAATTGGGTGCCCGGGCCTCACATGCTGCCCATCAGATTGTGATGGACTGTTGCATTGAGTGCTACTGAAACAAGGCAAGGATATAAACAAAGCACAGAGAAAAGAGATGGTTTTTCCAGAATCCTCCCTGGTTCCCAGCACCTGCTTCTGTTCTATCTGGTCTGTCTTTATCATCTCAGTGGCTTCTGTTTGCACCATCAGATGCAGTCTGGTTTCTTCGAAGGGCTTGGCCTTTTGCCTCATTCCCCCTCATTTGGCAATGTGTGTGTCTATAGTGCTGTTTCCAGGCCTGCCGTGTAGCTTGCCTTTCTGTGCAGCCACCAGCAAGCTGCAAACACCCATGGCCTCAGTCAGAAGGGAGATTCGTCTCTCACGTATGCATGTTTGTTCTCTTGGGCAAAGTGGGACGCCAAGGGTCTCCCGCAGGCAAGTCTGAGGCTGGTTGAGTCTCCTCACTCTCCTCTCTTCTGATTTCAGATCCTGAGTGTGAACGTAAAGTCCCCAGCTCTGCTCCTGAGCCAGCTGCTGCCCCACATGGAGAAGAGGGGGTACGGCTGCAGGTGGTGGGCGGGGGGAGTGGGAGACTGAAGCGCAGGGGTGAAGGACACACGGGACATAGAGGTCTTGCTGGGATTCCTGTGTTCCCCTGGCTCCCTCTGGCTTGCCTGGCATTTTGTGTGGTTGCTGTTTCCAGTTCCAGGGGCTACAGGCAGAGGGCAATGTTCTAGGGCTCCAGACGTGTTCTCCTTGGCCTTGGCATTGCCAGATTGGGGATGAAGTTGTGCTTTGGCCTTCTCACGATCAATAATCCCTCCTCGCTCTGTTTCTCCATACAGGGAGAAACTCCACCTGGGCCCTTCATTCCCCATCTCACAATCTCCAGCAACCCACATAGATCTGACTGTGCCCTCCACACACACAAATCCTACTGCACTCACGCACACACCTGGCTGTACTCATACACCTGACTGTACTCAGGCTGTACTCACTCAGACAAATCCAACTGTGACCTGCACATAACCAAAACCTACTATACTCACACGTACACACCCAACTACTCACATACAAATCCAAATCCAGCTGTGCTCACACATACGCGACTGCATTCATACACACATGACTGAACACACACAAATCTGACTACACACACATACTCAAGTGTGCTCACATAAACAAATCCGACTGTATTCACACATGCCAGGCTGTACTCACATGCATCTGACTGTATTCACACACACAAATCCGACTGTGGTCCCTCACATATACAAATCTGGCCTCCTCCCCCATCCCTCTATACACACACTCATGCACACACATGTACTTAACACACACATTTGACCTATCCCTGATACACAGAGCCTTTAGGAACTGGTTGGCTGTCTTGGGCAGAAGTTCCTGACCATTTTTTGCTTCTGCCTGCCCCATCTGATTCCTGACCCACTGACATGTATTCCACCTCACACACCCTTGGTTCTCTGGGCTTCTTCTCCAAGCCCACCCCTCCAAGGCTTTCTGCTCACCTCCTCCCCAGAAAGAACTAGGAGAGTTTGAGGTTCTGAGTGTGGACTGTGGCAGGAGGCCTAGTGTAGCCACCTTTTGGCTGTTACTCAGGCCTGGGAACCTCAGTTCTCTCAGCTGTGATGTGGCCATAGCACCAGGGTCTGTACTGCTGTGGTGAGCTGAGGTGACTGGGTGGGGACAGCACCAGGGCCTGTGTTGCTATGGTGAGCTGAGGTGAGGTGACTGGGTAGGGACAGTACCAGGCCCGTGCTGTTGCAGTAAGAATACCCTGCCTGCAGCCACAGCAAGCAGACGGTTCCATCTCTCCTCTGTGTCTGTCTGTCTCCCTTAGGAACGGGGCAGTCATCCTGGTGTCTTCCATTTCAGCTTACATGCCCCACGTGGTGAGTGTCGGTTGTGTCTGCCCCTGTGAGTCGTTGGTAAGTTCCAACTGCTCATTTCTCAGTGGCCCACAGAATAGGCCCTGTTGGGCTGGGCTGGGCTGAGCCTGTGTCCACATGGCTGCTGGGTCCCTGGCAAGGTATGTCTGAATGCCAGGCTGGGGAGCCATCACCTGCTGCTGTCTTCTATGCCCCTGTGTCTGAGCCACTCTCACTTCTCTTTCCAGGAGTTGGGTGCCTACAATATTAGCAAGACTGCCCTGTTGGGCCTCACCAGGACACTGGCATTAGAGCTGGCCCCCAGGGGCATCCGGGTGAACTGCCTCATTCCTGGGGTGATTGAGACTGCCTTCAGTGAAGTGGTGAGGATTTGGGTAGAGGTACTTCATTCTCCAGCCTGGCTCATGGCGAAGGCATAAAGTGGGTGGTTGAGGCCTCCGGCCAGTCTCCTTTTGGCTGGGGTTTTTCCCTGTCTTCTGCACCAGCCATGGTTCAGTCCCATTGATCCCAGGAAGCTGCCTTTCCTGAGAAGGGTGAACCTGTCTTGGGTGTCCTGCTCAGTGTCCACCCTGGGGCCCTGGCCACCTCCTTTCTTCAGTAGCTCTGATTCTTCCCTTGACCCAGGTTCATAAAAATGAGGCTTTTTGGAACCAGCTCAAGGAAAGCCAGCGGGTACAAAGGCAAGTTGGGGGTCTGGGTCTGACCTGGGGGGTGGGGACTCGGGGAGCAGCTGAGTCTGCTTAAGGGGCAGTCCCTGCCTGTGCCTGAGCTAGTCATTTTGGTGGAAGTCTGGGATCCACAGCTGGAATGCAGGTCACCCTGCTGAGCCTACCCTGTCACCCCCCATGAAAAGCCCATTCCCCACTATGACCTTTGAGCACAAAGCAGCGGAAGTGCTGTGCGATGTGGGCCCTTCCATCCCCTCCTTTCTTTCAGGATTGGGCAGCCAGAGGACTGCGCAGGGCTCGTGTCATTTTTGTGCTCCCCAGATGCCAGCTACATCACTGGGGAGAGCATCGTGGTGGCCGGCTTCTCCCCCCGCCTCTGAGGGGCCGGGAGGTGGCTGTGCAGCTCCAAGGGCTCACACATCCCAGGGCAGGGGAGGATCTCTCATCCCGGGTTTGAGGAAGAAACAAACCTTCCCGCATTGCTATCCTCTTCCCTCCTGGAGATGGCAGATGCAGATTTGGCAGTGCTTGGCATGAGCCCATGGGGCTGAAGAGTTCCACAGCCTGGAGCTTAGAAAGAGCTCCAAGAGAAGTGAAAACGGCTCAGAATCCTGACTTTTTCTCTTTGTGGCTGCCAATTGCTGGTTTGAACATGCCTTTCTTGAAATAAACTCGGATGTGCCCACAAACCTGGATGTTCCTGGCAAGGGTCACATGCTGGATGGTGTGGGGACAGACCTAAACTAATGGGGGAGGTAGGGAGGGAGCTGGGTGTGTGTTAGGAATTTTCACCATTAACCCAATTCGGGATGGGTTAGACTCCAGGAGTGAGAGCCAGAGTAGCAGACCCTCTGTTGAAAGAACTTGGTCATCATACATTGTCCCCAGTCCCTTAAGAAAGACCTGGAAAAAAAAAAACCTTTTAGGGCAATGGAAAGTACGAGGGTGCACAGGAATGGCCCTAGAGAAGGAGGCTGATGCATGAACAGGGATGATGTTGAAGAACCTAGATGTTTTTTGCCTTTTGTGATTCTGCCTTAATGGCTTGGCTGGGGGCTGTGTGAACTCCAGGCCTGACAGTCTACGTGACACCCGGCAGGACACCTGGCAGGTCACATTGGCAGACCACTCCTCAGGAAGGAGGTACCTGGTGTTAGATAAGACCTACTGCCCTATAGCTCATCAACTTGTACTTTTTGAAAGTTTGCTTGCTTCAAACCCACCAATAGAAGCCTGCTAAATCATAACTGTATAATTAATAGCCTGAAATGTATAAGAACTTGGGGGCTTGGGCTCTCTCTCTCTGACTCATGCTTCTTTTGCCCTCCCTGCGGATCCTGCAGCAGCCTTGGCTGCGGCTGCTCCTCCCCTGCCCAGCCCTGCTGGGCTTGGGGAGGTGGCTGGGAGACCTAGGCTAACCTGAATAAATCACCTTTATGCTTTAGCACCGACTTCAGACTTGATGATTTTCTGGCGATTTCAAAATCTGGAGCAACAATGTCTTCCCACCTGTGGATTCTATCTTGTAACCCTTCTTGTCTCCGCTCAGGTTACCCAAGCTTGTTTGCACATTGTACCCTCCCAGACCCCTGCCCTTAACTGCCACTACAGGAATGAAAAGTAGTGCAAACTGCAGTTCCAAGGCCAGTTCTTCCCTAGACCCACTGTACTTCTGCATTAATTAGCCTTGGCTCTTCCTGGCTAGGGTGCTGCAGTGTAACTGGGTGCACCCAGCAGGGAAGAATAAGGGTATCGGTGCCAGGGTAATCTCCAGGCTGAGCTAGAGCCAAAGGCGGTGACCCCAGGGTAGCTTGAGACAGTGTAGCTGGGGTTCAGGTGGGATGTGAGGCTTTGTGTCGGCGGGGGTTCTGGTGGGGAGGGGTGGGGACATAAATAGTGGAATGACCAAGGCTGTGTTTGGTCACTGTCAATGTAAGCATCACTAGGAGTCAAATTTTCCCAAGAAGATAAACTGTCCCTCCTCCTCCAGCAAATGATCCCTTGGACAATTACACTGCAGGACTGGCCTGGGTGCCCTGTGTGGCTGGACTCAAATCTCACATCTGTCCCTTTTAACCTAAAGGATATTGTCTTCTACACAGGGGACATCCTGTGGATCCCACAGAGTAGAATGACTCGCTTAGCTGGTCGGGTTGTTATGGTGTTTTCTAACTGCCACCTGCTCCAGAGAGGAAATTTGTCCACATGCCTGCAGCTTTAAAAATTTAGTCATTTATTTGTTTTGTTCAAAAGGCAGATTCACAGAGAAAAAGGTGAGACACAGAGATGATCTTCCATCTTCTGATTCACTCCCCAAATGGCCATAATTGCCAGAGCTGAGTTGATCCAAAGCCAGATCCAGGAGCTTCTTCTGAGTCTCCTATGTGGCTATGGAGGCCCCAAGGCCTTTAGTCATCTTCTGCTGCTTTCCTAGGCCATAAGCAAGGAGCTGGGTGAGTACAGCTGGGACACAAACCAGTGCCTATATGGGCAGTTGGAGGATTAGCCTGTTGAGCCATTGCGCCAACCCCAACATCCTTGCAGCTTTAAGAGGCCAGGGATCCCAATTTGGGATCCAATTCTCCAAGGTAAAGTGATAGTCATGGTTTCAGCAGCCCAGGGCTCTATTTAGCAATTCTGATTGGCCTGATTTCCTTTTAGAGTGGAGCCTGGTTTTCCTACTGGAGACCCAGGGAGCAGGAGTATGGGATGGAGGGAGTAGTGATGGCTGCAAGGGACGCTGGAGAAAGCACACTGGGCTACCTCGTGCAGGGAGCTGACCTGGGCAACTGCCACCTGTTTCCCCTGGGTCTCCTGAGAAGGCTGTGGGATGCCTCCCAGGAGCTACAAATGTGCTTTACACGTGGGATGGCAGGGGAGTGTTTGGTGTGGCTTGTTACCTCAAGGGTTGCCCTGGGAGTTATCAGCTCTGCCATTGTCTCAAGCAAAGAGGAAGGGTGCCCAGCTGAGGCCCACAGGAAGAGCCCCATCAGTTAAATGGAGCTCAGGAGGTGGGCAAAGGGGGTATGAGCCACAGCACCTGTTGCTGCCTGCTCCAAGTTCTCCAGGATGTCACAGCTTTTGGTCTCCAATGAACTGAAAGGTACAAAGCACTCAACTCATTGCTCCCACTAGGCTCCAGCACGAAAGAAATCTCTCCTCTCCTCAGATAATAATTAGCTGGCTTCCCCCAAGGCTGATGTCATCACAGGAGACTTTCAAGCTGTCCCAGCTCCAAGCTCCTGTTAATGGTCCATGGCTCCAGCAGTCGTAGCCATGGTGGTCCCTCAGAGTTACCATCAGAAACCAGAAGACTGAAAGGAAGGGGAGGTGGAGAGGAGGGTGGGAGGAGACTCCTGAGTTAATCAAACCCGCAAAGAGCCCAAGGCCTCTTAACAACAGAGTGTGTTGTTTCTCACCAAAGGAACTGTTGAGGTGCACCAATAAATATAAGATTCACATATTTTAATTTTTTTTAAAAAAGATTTATTTATTTTTATTGGAAAGACAGATATACAGAGAGAAGGAGATACAGAGAGAAAGATCCTCCATCTGCCGGTTCACTCCTCAAGTGGCTGCAATGGCCAGAGCTGAGCTTATTTGAAGCCAGGATCCTCTACCAGACCTCTCACGCAGGTGCAGGGTCCCAAGGTTTTGGCCTTCCTTTATTGCTTTCCCAGCTACAAGTAGGGAGCTGGATGGGAAGTAGAGCAGCCAAGACACGAACCGGTGCCCATATGGGATCCTGGTGCATGCAAGGTGAGGATTTTAGCCATTAGGCTACCGTGCCAAGTCTAATTCAAATACTTATTTTAAACACTCCTTTTTAATGTTCTCTAAGCCAATATGGGGACTGTTTCAAACACAAAGACTTGGGGAGTGGTGGGGAGTAGGGCAGGCTCCCTTTTGCCCTGTTGCTGGTGATACAGCTTCTGGAGACAGTGGGCAAGGTGCTGAGGATGACAAGGTGCTGGGGATGACATAGCCCTTAGTGGGCTGAGGCTACCCAGGGTCAGCACGGAGATGCAACACCTTGGGGTGCAATGACTGAAGATAACTCATCTCTCACCTTGATCCAAACGTTAGGCATTCTAGCCTTGAAATCCAGGGCAAGGCTTTAGCAGAAAGATGAAATGCCTTTTCTTCTAGAATAGGTGGTCCCTTAAGCTATTGAGCAGCTTCTTGAGAACACACACACACACACACACACACACACACACACACACACACAATGAGAGAGAGAGATAGAGAGACAGAGAGATTTTCCCATCCAGTGGTTCACCCCCTCAGATAGTTGCAAGAGTCAGGGTTGGGCCAGCTGAAATTAGGAACTAGGAATTCCATCCTGGTTTCCCACATGGGTGTCAGGGACCCAATCATTTGGAGCATCCCTTGCTGGATTTCCAGGTGCATTAGCAGGAAGCTGGATAGGAAGTGGAGCAGCTGGGACTCCATTATGAGATGTACTCACCACAGGCACAGGCTTAACCCGCTGCTCCACATTGCTAGCCCCTGCAGCGATTCTTTCACCAGGCAGGAGGAGAGAGTGTGAGATGCCAAGCACAGTGTGAGAGCTGGCATCCTGACTGTCCACTCACACGAAGAACACAAAGTCCCACAGATGGAGTGATGGGTGGAGTGCAGTATCTGCAAGTCTGGCACTGGGTGTCCAGCGGGGTTGGTCTCTGTTGCCATGAGGGCGGAGCAGAGGGAGAGATCCCACTCCCACAAGCCGTTTGTAAGGGTCTAGTTGCATCCTGGAGCGTTCTGTTCCCATGATTTGATTGGTTCCTAAAGCCCCACTTCTTGACGCCATTGTGTAAGGGGGTAAATTTCAGCATATAAATCTTGGGTGTCAGATCACAGTGTCCCCAACTGCCAGCTCCAAAAGAGACACCAGCAGCTTGTCGCAGGCAGAGCCACTTCCAGACTCCTCCTTGACTTCTTTCCTGGCCCTACCCTGCTGAACACCACATGGCAAGCTTCCTGAAGAGGCTCAGTTCTGCTGGGCTTTGCTGCACGGCTTAGGAGTTGGGCAAAGACGCAGGTGTGGGGAAGTGTAGCATCCTGAGGACCCAGGAAAATTCAGGCCCCCATGCTGCCAAGAGAGGGAGGCTGTTTTTCTGTGATATCTGTGGTTTTTTCCAGTGCACCTGATTCTTAACCTTTCCAGAAACCTGCCCAACAGCTGCCCTAAGAATAGCTCCCAGACCCAATGCGATGGCTCATTGGCTAAATCCTCACCTTGCAGGTGTTGGGATCCCATGTGGGCGCCAGTTCGTGTCCCAGCTGCTCCACTTCCTATCCGGGTCCCTGCTTATGGCCTAGGAAAGCAGTAGAGGATGGCCCAAAGCCATGGGACCCTTGCAGCTACTTGGGC